CTGCAGCTGTTGTATGCTTATTTCAATTGTGACTAAAACTGTGCCTTGTGCTTTTTAAATATCGAGGAAATAAAGCCTACTCCCAACCTATTTTAATTTGAATTAGAAAATTCAGCCCTTCCACTGAAAGCAGGACATCTATATAATTAGTTTGGGCCTGATTTCTGTCCTGTTTGTAACAGGACAAGCTTTTATTTTCAAACATATCAGTATGCTAACCTGGGCCCGAATTTCTTAAAAACACCATCACTTTATTTAGTGTGAGTGTATAGGGTGTGTGCGTGTAACTCTTTTTATAGTGTTAATTACAGGTAGTCCTTGACTTATAACCATAACTGAGCCCAAATTTTTTGTTGCTAAGTAAAACATTTGTTAAATGAATGTTACCCCATTTTACCACCTTTTGTACCATAATTGTTAAGTGAATCATTGCAGCTGTTAAGTTAGTAACCTGTTGTTAAGTGAATCTGGCTTCCCCATTGACTTTGCTTGTAAGAAAGTCACAAAAGGTGATCACATGATCCCAGGACACTGTGACCACCATAAAGATGAGTTAGTTGCCAAGCAACCAAATTTTGATCACATTGCTATGGGGATAGTGCAACAGTTGTAAATGGATAATAAGTCACTTTTTTTCAATCCCGTTGTAACTTTGAACGGTCACTAAATGAACTGCTGTAAGTTGTGGACTAACCTGTATTATGAGGATTTTAGAACAAACTTTCTGAAGACATAGTTTTACTTAATTTTATAGCATCTCACAAAAAAAATATGTAAACAAATGACTGCTGTTCATTTTTCTTTCACAGATCCACCTGTATTTAAAATATTGCCAAAATGGGTTCCAAAGGCCTCCTACTATTTTGACAAAGAACATTATTGTTATGCTGGCCATCAGATCATCATTCAAGAATCCATTGAATGCTTTGGAGCTGTAGTATGGCCTGCTGTAAGTTTTGTACAGAAAAACAACACACTTTTGACTAATAAACACCTTAAGACATCTCTTAAGTTAAGAGGAAATATTTACTCTTGCTTATGCCTTTTATTTTGATCAGTATTGCCATCTCCAGCAATATTAATAGTGGAGGGAGCAGTGGCAACATTCATAATGACTTAACATTAAGACTATTATCGTGATTACTAAACTGATTAACATGGATTGCATGATGCTGTACCCTTGTCCCATGTTGATTGTCCCATGTCACATATTCTTGTCCCATGTTGATGAGGCATAGAATCAAAATCATGTGAAGTATTAGTACCGCTTTATAAATCCTTAGTAAAACCACACCTGAAATTTTGCATCCAGTTTTGGTCACCACATTACAAAAAAGATGTTGAGACTTTGGAAAAAGTACAAAGAAGAACTAAGATGGTTAAAGGCCTGGAGACAAAAACATGTGAAGAACAGTTGCAGGAACTGGATATAGCTAGTCTAGAGAAAAGAAGGATTGGAGTGACATAATAGCAGTATTCCAGTATTTGAGCGGCTGCCACAAAAAAGAGGGAGTCAACTTATTTTACAAAGCACAAGAAGGCAAGACAAGAAACAATGGATGGAAACTAATGAAGGAGAGAAGCAACCTGGAGCTAAGAAAAAAATTCCTGACAGTAAGAACAATCAGTCAGTGGAATGGCTTGCATTCAGAAGTTGTGGATGCTTCATCACTGGAGGCTTCTAAGAAATGAATGGACAATCTTTGTCTGAAATGATATAGGATCTCCTGCTTTGAGCAAGGGTTGGACTAGATGACGTCCAAAGTCCCTTCCAGTTCTATTCTGATTGAAATATTGGTGTCCAGTTAAATGAAATTCATGAATGAAGAGCAGATGCCACTAAATTGGTTATATAATAGCTTCAATTGTCTATGGAGATTCTCAGTCATCCAGGTCATGGATATTCCAAAGGTGCTTTTTCAAGAGGCAACTGGACTTCCCTGTTTTTCTTTGAAGACGTTTTGCTGCTCATACAAGAAGCTTCTTCAGCTCTGAGCTTTGGGCCAGCTTTCCTTAGTGTTCACTGGAAATATCAGTTGCTATACTTTATCCCTAAATCAAAGAAATGCTGCTATGGTAGTTAAACATGACCCAGAGTGGCTATGTGTTGCCATTAAGATGGTTTAACATGTTTTGGGACTTCCAGTTTGCCGCTGCAGCCGCCTTGGCCGTTTGGAAGGCGAGCTCCATCCTCCACATCCGATTTCGCATCCCTGGGGGACCCTGGAAAGGATCGAAAGTTGCCCTTTAGGGGCGACAAGCATGGAGGGGATTCCTGCTTGATCGCAGGAGGGTGGTAGCCCTTCCACTCGATCCGGGGCAGCCCTCCAAACCGGCAGACGAAAGACCGGCCATAGAAATATGGCTCGTCACTAGGCTGCAGATAGCTGAAGTCAAATTTACCATCAGGCACCTACAAAGCAGCGCGGATGAGACTGAGTGAGATCTGAACCGCTCTTCAATCCTAATTATTTTTTCCACCTGTATAAGCTGCCCAAAGTATTTTCCCCCCTGTGGAGAGAGAGAAGGGAAATTCTATCCCACCCTCTAAAAACAGCGGCGACTGACTATCCAGGGGAGTTTAAAATGCTGAAAAAAATAACTGGATTTTTATCTTTCTAAAATTTGAGGACTAAAAGATTTCTTATTCTTATTGAAGATTTGGGTTCTTACTTACAAAAAAGAAGTAAAATTGAGAAAGGATTATAAAAATATTGGACTTAAAAAAAACCCAAAAATCTTAAATGGTGTGGGTGACATCTTGTGGCTAAACCTGATATTACTTGTTATTGTCTAAAAGAGACTTGGCTTGAAGCCCAGACTATAGATAAGACTTTGGCAGATACCAGCTGTGAGACGCTCAGCTGTGTTTTATACTCAGTGACAAAATTATTTTCATTCTCTGATTGTAAAGCTTTTAATTTAACACACTACTAAGAGAACATGGAAGATCATGAACAGATACTTTTTATGTTGAAAGCAATTTATGAAACTATTCTTACAGCTACTGATGAAATAAGAAGCTACAGAAAAGAACAAGATGTCAGTCTAGATATACGAACCCAAACTTCGATTACAACTAAAAACCAACTACACAGAATATAATAGAACAATTAAATACTATGATAGAAGATTCAACTGATCAACAAACACAGTTAACGAGAAACCCAGAAAAGGGATTGACAACACTGAAAATGGAAAAGACTTTCTATATAAACCAAAAGAAACCTGAGGATCAAGAAGAAAAACAGACCAAAGGGAAGATAAACATTTCAGGACAACTATGTTGAGATGGAAAAATAGAAAGACAATTTGTTAGCCCTTCCCAAAAAATGGAGACTGGATGGCCTCTTTTATTTCAAACAACATATATAATAACAGAGGAAAATCTATTTGATGACTTAAAAGCACGGATATGGAAGGTGAGTTGGCAAAGCAAGCAAGCAAGAATAAGGCTGAGGAAAATTGGGGTTTTGACTCATTAGTGAGGATTAAAATAGAATATACTCAAATAGACAAGATGAGTACTTTGAATACTAGATTTTGTTATGAACTGAGATAAAGAAGACTTTGGTCATTTAAAACTTGGAAGTACAAATATCAAAAGTTAAATTTGAATATTGATTGGTTTATAAAGGTTGAATGTAAAAGTAATTAAGATAGATATAAGCTAAAATATACTGACAAATGTAATAAACACATTTTTACTTAGCTGATATAATAAGAACTGTACTGGCTTAAATATGAGATAGTAGACACTAAGAGAAAAAGAGAGGAAGTATTTGATGTTGAAACCAGGGAAATTTTGGTTACTAAATTTAAGACATTTGGAAATTAATAGAAAATAAGAATGTTACACTGTATTATTAATTAGATGATATAAGATGGTGAGAAATAGAATATATTCAAATAGATAAGATGTGTATCTTGAATATTAGACTTTGTGATGAATTGTGATAAAGGGAATTTTGGTCACTTAAAACTTGAAATTATAAATATTAAATTTAAATATTAATGGGAAACTAAAAATTGGGAAAAACTAATTAGGACATTTATAAAGACTGAATGTTAAAATAACCNTTTTGGGAGTTGAAGTGTACACATTTTAAAAGTGCCCAGCTTGAAGAATGCTTTGGATAGAAGTCGACACCAATTTGGAATGACTGTAATCTTTGGGCTGCCGTCTGGTGGTCTTTGGGATTATTTGTAACCCAAACAAAAAAGCAACCCCACAAGTACCCATTGGGGGCCCAACTGGTTAGGCACAAGGAGGGGGGGGTGCAAACTGGGAAAAAAAGAAGAAAAAAAGGGAAAACAGAGCATCTTGGACAAGGTGAGTGACTCTAGAGCAGTATGTCAGCCCAAATGTTTTTAATCCTTTCATCCGTTTTTTTTTTTAAATATTATTTTAAAAGCACCTTGACTGATCTCAGGAAACTTAGCAGGTTGGCCTTCTTTGATCCTTAGATCGGAGACCATGTGGTAATCCCTAGGGCAAAGGTATGGTGTTCAAGCCACTCTGCTGGGTCCATTCCCCTTGAAAGAGGCATATTTCCATTTTTTTTAAAAAAAAGCCCCAAACTCCTCTTTCTTACCCTCAATCCTGCCACAGGAATGATATGGTGCCATGCACTCATGGACCTTGATTAAATTTTTGGCCACCAAAGGTTTATCCACCTAATTTGAAGTGATAAAGACTAGTTTCTCCCTCAATCCAGTGAAAGTGCTTGAACCTTGAGGAAAATAGTCGCTGATTTCCCAGAATATGAACTGGGTATCAGCATTCCTTAAATTGCCTTTTGGCTTCTAATTTGCCACTGTTAAGATAACAAACCATGTGAAACACTTTTGAGCAACCCAGCACTGGATCGAAAGAAATATACCATGCTTTTTAGCATGGTGCTTTTTTATACAGTAGGATGCTAGATAGATCAATTAGAAATACAATGATTTGCACTTACAGTCCCTGGTTTGATTGTTCCTTGAACAGGATTCCTGCTATGATCTCTACAAAGCACCAGATGCTCCCTAAAATGGCTCAGAAATTAACAGAAGAGGAGGAGGAAAAAGAATCCAAAGTTGACTACAGTGACAATTCTTCTCTATTACCTGACTCAGGTTGCACTTTAAAATGAACACATTGCTTCCTTCTAAGCTATGGAATAGATGGACCACATTTAAGTAATAGCTAAAAAGCTGCTTTATGATTGCTCACCAGATAAAACACGAGTAGTTCATTTTGAGAATTGTTATTTATCCTCATTTTTTATCGCAATGATTTGCAAAGGCCCAAAATTGATGTTGCTAAGTGAGAAATTTGTTAAGTGAGTTTGGCCTCATTGTATGACTTTTCTCACCACATCTGTTAAGTGAATCACTTCAATTAGTAACACGGTTGTTAAGTGAATCTGGTTTCCCCATTGCTTGTCAGAAGGTCACTAAAGGGGATCACATGACTCCGGGACATTGCAACCATCATAAATGTCAGTTGTCAAGCATCCAAATGTAAATCACATGATCATGGGGATGCTGCAACGGTCATGAGTGTGAAAAATGGTCATAAGTCACTTTTTTCAGTGCCGTTGTAACTTTAAATGGTCATTGTTGTAAGTCAAGGAAAACCTGTATTCATAATCTCAGCTATTCAGAGAGGCTCACGGGGGTTGGGGAAAGGGGGGTCTGGGACAATTAACCATGGGGACATGTCTGCGTCCATTCCATCGAGGGGCCCCAACAGCAGCCGACCCATTGTGGGCATTTATTGTTCACTGGCTCTCTGCTAGCGTTTTTCGCCGTCAATGGTCTGCTCCAACGCACCCTCCTCCTGGCCAATTTGCCGAAGGATACTTGTCTTTGGCCAATCCAGAGTGCAGGACAAGTAACTGTGCATCCCTACTCTGCCTTCCCATTCGATGTGGTCCCTTTTTAGCTCGGCTTCCTGATGTGGAAACTGGAAAGTTTGAGCGGAGGCACACCTGCTGCACTTTGTGTGCATGCAGAGGGCTGGGATGGTGGAGCTGCTTCCTTCCAGATGTTCCACGCTGCTGCAGGGAGTCCCTTGGCTTGAATGCTGCAGATTCGTGGCAAGGCAGGGGGTGAGCAGGCGGAGATTCGTGGTGCTTCTGAAAGGGAGAGACTGGCTAATAATAGAGTCCTTCCAAGCATATCTAGAAATTAGGAACTTGTTTTCAGTTTCAGGATCAGGCTTCCTGCGTTCTGAAGAACATGTCAAAAAGTTTGAATAACCAAGCCCCCAAGAGGAAGAAACATGATAAATGTGAAGGACCCCTCTCGGAAAAGGAACCATCAACTGCACCCCGAGCTCAGTCTCTGTAATTGTAGTCAGCAAAAATGAAAAGAAAACATTACAGAATGTCATTCTCTCGGAGAAGAGAAAAAAAGAGGGAGAGAGGGGAGGGGGAAAGACTTACCCCCCCCCCCCAGATAGAATTGGATATGAACAATTGGACATTATGCATATGAAAATATCCAGAAAGATGTTTGCAACAAAGGCTGCAATCCCACAAAGGGAAGCTTCTTTAAAATTATTTTCTTGTAATAGAAGCATAAGCCACTAATCCTGATCTGTCATACAATTATTTTCCTAGTCAATACATTTTCTTTGATCTTACTAGGTACAGGGGTGGGCAACCTTGGCTCTTTTATGACTGGTGGACTTCAACTCCCAGAATTCCTGAGCCAGCCACGCTGAGGAGAAATGGGAAGGTTTCCATGCTGAGCCATGCTGGCTCAGGAATTCTGGGAGTTGAAGTCCACAAGTCATAATTAAAAGAGCCAAGGTTGCCTACCCCTGTATTAGGATGATGTTTCTGGCTCATTTCAATATCAGGCATCTTCTGCCTTCTCTTTTCTCCTCCCACATTTCCCTCCTCCCCAAACAAGGTCATCTCTTTTTTAAAAAACGAGGACGAGCAGTTCCTCATATGAGATTAATTTCTAACTATGTTATAAAACTAAGTGCTTTTCTTTATAATAATATTCCCAAAGCAATATCAAGCGTATCCTTTCTCTCCCCAATCCCCAATCCCATCAGGGCAGTGATATATTCAGAGTCCTAATAATTTTGGGATAAACACCTTTTATTTCAAAATTATAATGGGGGCCCACGGTGAAATGGGCGCAGACATGTGCCCATGGTTAATTGTCCCATTCCAGGGAAAGTGTCCCCAAATCATGGCAGCCCTGGCCATATGATTGAAGCTCTGCCTTTTTGGCATGGGCATAAAGCATGCACCACATATAAAGATGGGGGAGGGATTCCTTCAGTTGTGCAGTCATGGGCACAATCTTGACTTTTTTAGTGCTCAGATATTCCTGCAGCTATTGTATGCTTATTTCAATTGCGACTAAAACTGTGCCTTGTGCTTTTTAAATATCGAGGAAATAAGGCCTACTCCCAACCTATTTTAATTTGAATTAGAAAATTCAGCCCTTCCACTGAAAGCAGAAGGACATCTATATAATTAGTTTGGGCCTGATTTCTGTCCTGTTTGTAACAGAACAAGCTTTTATTTTCAAACATACCAGTATGCTAACCTGGGCCTGAATTTCTTAAAAACACCATCACTTTATTTAGTGTGAGTGTATAGGGTGTGTGTGTGTGTGTGTAACTCTTTTTATAGTGGTAATTACAGGTAGTCCTTGACTTATAACCATAACTGAGCCCAAATTTTTTGTTGCTAAGTAAAACATTTGTTAAATGAATTTTACCCCATTTTACCACCTTTTGTACCATAATTGTTTAGTGAATCATTGTAGCTGTTAAGTTAGTAACCTGTTGTCAAGTGAATCTGGCTTCCCCATTGACTTTGCTTGTAAGAAAGTCACAAAAGGTGATCACATGATCCCAGGACACTGTGACCACCATAAAGATGAGTTAGTTGCCAAGCAACCAAATTTTGATCACATTAATATGGGGATAGTGCAACAGTTGTAAATGGATAATAAGTCACTTTTTTTCAATCCCGTTGTAACTTTGAACGGTCACTAAATGAACTGCTGTAAGTTGTGGACTAACCTGTATTATGAGGATTTTAGAACAAACTTTCTGAAGACATAGTTTTACTTAATGTTATAGCATCTCACAAAAAAAATATGTAAACAAATGACTGCTGTTCATTTTTCTTTCACAGATCCACCTGTATTTAAAATATTGCCAAAATGGGTTCCAAAGGCCTCCTACTATTTTGACAAAGAACATTATTGTTATGCTGGCCATCAGATCATCATTCAAGAATCCATTGAATGCTTTGGAGCTGTAGTATGGCCTGCTGTAAGTTTTGTACAGAAAAACAACACACTTTTAATAAACACCTTAAGACATCTCTTAAGTTAAGAGTAAATATTTACTCTTGCTTATGCCTTTTATTTTGATCAGTATTGCCATCTCCAGCAATATTAATAGTGGAGGGAGCAGTGGCAACATTCATAATGACTTAACATTAAGACTATTATCGTGATTACTAAACTGATTAACATGGATTGCATGATGCTGTACCCTTGTCCCATGTTGATTGATTGTCCCATATCACATATTCTTGTCCCATGTTGATGAGGCATAGAATCAAAATCATGTGAAGTATTAGTACCGCTTTATAAATCCTTAGTAAAACCACACCTGAAATTTTGCATCCAGTTTTGGTCACCACATTACCAGGGCTTTTTTTCAGCCGGAACGCGGCGGAACCGCGTTCCGGCACCTTTTTCCGGGCCGGCCGCACCGGAAATAGCCCCTCCCACACCGGAAATAGCCCCTCCCAAATTTTACTTGCATTCCTGTTCTCTAAAGGGGCGGTCCTAGGGTTTGATGAGGGCGTGGCCAGGTTTGAGTTCCGCCACCTTTTCTC